GCAAATGGGGTCAGCCACACATGAAATAGTAGTGCTTTAAATAGGGATTTAAATCTGCCTGCATTCCTAATTCGTCATCACTGCTTGTGCAATCCATGCTCTGTGGGCATACAGAAGTCATGGAACGGGAGGTGCTTCCCGGGCATACCTGATGGCAAGTATGAGAAGCAGCAGCTTCAGAGTCGGTTAGATTCCTAATATAAATAGCATCTGCTCCTTTTACCTTCTGTGGTTACTGAATGACTTTTTTCAGAGGATTCTGTTGATGAAATTCTTGGAAGGAATATTTGATGTGGCATTTTTAGAATAAAATGTCTTTCATAAGCACAAGGAACAGTTACATAGTTTAACAAATGTTCTGACAATGGAAGATGGAAGACAGACACACACGTTTTTCTCCTTAATAGGAAAACAATAACATAGGCCATTCTTCTAAAGAGTGTAAAACTATCTACAAAGGGATGTGAAAACTTTTAGCAAATAATCTGAAACTAGAGAACCAGAAATGGATTTTAATGAAACTACAGGAGAACATCGCACATACAGCAAACTCTCAGGGCACTAAATAGTACACGTAAAAGCAGTAATACAGTGTGGTAGTGAAGACAGTAGTGCTGGCGGGTGTCAGGCTGCCTGGTTTGAATCCCAGCTCTGTCATTCATTAGCTGAACGGCCTCGAACAGATGTTTGTTTATTTTTTTTTTTTGCCTTAGTCTCACCTGTAAAATGGAAATAAAAAAGTGCTTACCTCAAAGTAGGAACAAGTAAGCAAACATATTTTAAACTGCCAGATGAGTTTAAAATATTAGGTATCAATATTACTTGCTATCATCATTATCAGGGACATCTCATTTAGGTTTAAGAACAAACATCAAGTACTTTCATGTTCCTTTCCACCTACAGTTCTGAAGCTAAAAACAAAGCCACAAACAGAAGATACTGTTTTTTTGGTGAATCCACTCATCCAATCAGTTAATCAGCTGTCCACACCATTCATTTAACATTCAAATAGTATGTGACTTTTCAAATGCATTGAAACCATTACAATTTAAGAACAACCCTCAAACTTTAAAGTCAATCAGTGACAAAATATAATTTACTAGTTAGGAGACTTAAAAGCATTCTTAATTTTTATTTTCTTCTATGTCTTTAATAATATACTTACAGAAAAACAAGAGAATTTTGCCCTTTGAATTCTTAAATCAATTCTCAGTTAATAACAGATTAATCCAGAGAAAAAAGACTCTTTTTAAAAAGTCTGTGATAGAGGTTATTTAAATAAGAGTACCATATACTCAATATATGTTTCTCCTCTCTATTTTGTCTCTAACTGGATTAAATGTTCTTTGGCTTCAGGAATATACTTGCATATCTCTAACTTACCTGTACCTATATAATAATTATATTACAAAGATATTCAATAAGCATTTGCTGGACATATAACTAAATGAGAGATTTGCCTAAATAGCATTGTGGTCTGTTGATTTTGGTCCAAGAGAAAAGCAAAACTGTTAATTATCTTATAAAGGCTATGGGTAAATATAGAGCCCAGAATTTTTCTTGGAAATGTGTGCTTTAATTGTATTTTATAAGATATTATTTAACTTAAACACATATTTTAAAAATTATTATGAAAGATATAAATTCTTCATTTAAGTTAAACTTGTTTAAAAAGCCTCCATGTGGTTAACATCTAACTAAATTTAGAATAAAATTATGTTTTTCAAAAGTTAGCATATAATAGAACAGAATGATGTTTAGGGTCTCATATTTTGAATATTAAACTTAACGATCTCATCTTGGACACTGTCCTTATGTTTCAATGCCTTCATTGTCAAAACGTGATCCTATACCATTCCATCTCAGCGATTCTTAGTAAGGACTAGCTAACAAGAAGCCTTTAAACATTGGTAGTACAGGAAAGCTAATTCACCAAGTAGGTATGCTGTGTTTTCAGTTTAAAAAGTAGTGGTTTCAAAACAAACAAGTGCCAGTTGCTGTCCCAAAGTGCACCAACTTGAGAGAGGGAGGACCAACAAGCAAGAAATGGAAGAAGAATTATGAAGTTTATAAGTTCTTGCCTGAGGCTAGATACTAGCTCTTTAGGTGTGGCCCAGGACTCGGTCTGGCAGCAGTCTGTCTGCAGGGCCAGTCCCAGTGTAGGGCCTGCATGCCGATGCTGCAGCCCAGGATTTCCTCCCTTCTCCTCCGAGGATGCCCGTTTATGTAAAAAGGCTATTTTTGCAGTATCTCCCTGCCTGCTAGTGGTTATATGTTTGTTATGCATCAATTAAAAACACAGACCACCAAGCCACCTTGAATTTAGTGTAATGTAAAATGAATACATTTTAATAATCACAATGGAGACAATGCATAGATATAATATAGGTATTATTTAGATTTACTAACTGCTTGGAAAAAATTGTGGTACCTCTCAGACTGGGAATTGTTGATCTGGCTGATGTGTTTAAGTCATTTTCTAGTATGAAAATTCCATATGACTTGATTGTTTCCTTCCCAAATTGTTCTATCTTCAAATATGTTTGTGCCTTTAAGAGAAATTATGATTATACTTCATACTATGCATTTATATTTAAATGAATAATTAATGAAAATTGTCCCCAATTATTAAAAAAAGAAGACCATGACGACATGCGGGGGCAGCGGCAAATCTTCCCTGATGCGTCATGATGGAGTCATTCTCAAAAACTAATGCCCATAAAATTGAGTAAACATAGAACCAATAAAGACAAGATTTCTTCACACCACGTGAAGGCACACTGCTATGGAAATTTTTGGGATAAGCACAGCATTTTTTTCACAGTGATATCTCATGCTTTAAGCATCAGCTACTAAGTAAAAAGAGTCCTCCCCACGTGTCCATACCATAGAGCGGACTGTTGCAGAGTGCGCCCATTCTCCTGTGTGTTCCCCCATCCTTTTTTTTTTTTTTTAGCACAAAGCACAATGCTAGATTTGATGAAACAAGACAATAATTAGGACTAAAAAATATTTCCTGTCACTCCTTGCAAGTATCTCATCACTGTGCAGAGTAAGGATTATGCTCCCAGTTGACACCCCATTCTTTCAAATTCTGCGTTAATTTTTCAAACATTTGAGCTATTTCTTTCCCAAACCTACTTTGTAAAACAAAAGCTATTACATAGCCAGCAGTCCCTGTTCCTAATTCTAACTGACCAGATTGTGATCCTTATCAGTGCTCAGTAAAGCTGTAAAGCCAGTCTCAGAATTATCTTTCTGGGTTCCATTTTGTTGTTGCTGTTTTGACTTTACGAAAGAGCAGTTAAGTAAGAAGCCACTTTCTGCTTGATTTTTTGATAGACTGAGAAGCTACATGTAGGAGCCCCTAATCCTATCTCCCCCTACTATACACTGATTTAGGAATATTAACCACCCACCAAGTACCACCATCCTACCAAGTACTGGCATCAGTGCTTACACATAATAATAGGTAATTTCAGTGAGCACTAACCCTGTGCTAGGCACTGTGGTAAGCACTTTCATTATTTTCCTTTAAGTTAGATGTTATTATGATCATCCTTATTTTACATATGAGGATACTGAGACAGATTAAATTACTTGTCCAAGGGTTCACAAGCAGACAATCTAAATCCAGAGCCCATGATCTTAACCACTGATGGAAAGATTGCATAAGCATTTGTTTCCAAATGCACAGGAGTTTTGGCCATTTTAAGGACACCACTCGGGGTGAGGAAGAATGAGACAAAAGAAAAAAGGAATAATAAGAAGTAAACAATATAACGTAGAAAGGTAGGAGTTATCAGCATTCATCAGATTTCATTTTCTATTCAAATGTGCTTTCAGTACCGACTTACTGTTCTTGGGCCCTACAGGGGAATATAATAAAAAGTAAGGTAATTTATGTACTCTACAGATTTGAACTTACAACTTACAAACAAGAACAGTTAAGTAATACAAAGTAGTTTTGTCAGGTGTGAAGTACCAGATCTAGAATTGTGTGAGCCTAGGTGGAAGATAGAAAATTCAGGGTGTACAAGTTCATAATGAAAAGATGATCTGTAGGGACAAGAGATCTAGGTCCTTGAGGACAACTGTGAAAATGAGTAGGATTTGACTAGGTCCACTAAAGGTAGTCCTGTGACTGCATCAGCACCTGAAGGAAGTGGGAATGAGCAGAGGCATAACGAATGTTCCAGCCGGGATGGGGTGAGACGACTTGGAGAACTAGTGGGAGCTGAGGTTGAAAAGGCTGGGCTCAGGTTTGCAGGAGATCTTGTCCAAAAGACAATGGGAAGTCACTGAAAGATTTTGTACAAGGAAGTGGCAGCATTAAGGCAGAATTTGGGGAAGTGAAATCAAATGCAACAGTCTGATGGATGGCAAATAGAACAGAACAAAAAATAATTTAAGGACTTTTTTCATGATTACTAGACTTGGAAGCCATAAATACATGTAGCATCGCTCAGAAGCAGAGGCTCTGAGAAGGAAGGTGTAGGCATGAAGGGCACTCGTGGGTGGTGGCGGGTATGAATGCAGGGAGAGCGTCTGAACCCCCAAAACTTCAAAAATGTCCCTAAGTCTCACACACATACCTCCAAAAAGCTCTGGCAGGAAGACTGACTTTCATTCATATTAGGCCTGTCACCCAGGGCAACCAAAACTACCCACAGCAATTCTGGCAGATGACCCCACAAAGCAGACCAATCCATCCGGTCCATGGTCCCCACCTCCACCCGCAGGAGTCAGAGGGGAAGATGGAAAAGTTTGGGGAGTAGCCCCAGCGAACCAGGAGGTCATTTATTCATTCCTCAACCACTCTCTCAGGTGTTCAGATGCGGAGGATGACATCCGGACAACGCTCCGGCCACTCCTCCCCTGGGGAGGGTTGTGAAACTCTGGACACTTTGCTCCTCGCCCCGCTAGTAAGTCCTCAGCGCGAGGCTCCTCCCAAGACTTATAAAGGTCGCACCGCCGAGCGTCTGAGCTCCACTGCCGGACAGGCCTGTGTCGGAGGACGCGGCTGACCCGTGGCCCTCCAGTCCCTCTGCTGCGCTCCATCCGAAGCCCCGCCACCTCGCTGCTCCCGCAGGGCAGGTGCGCTCCCTCTGCGCCGCCCGCCTCCCGCCGCCCGCTGCGCAACCCGAGAGCCCAGGGGCTCCAGCGAGCACCGCCCGGAGCAGGATGGAGTCTCACGGCGTCCGAGCACTGCTGCGGCTCGGCCTGGGTAAGCGCCCGCCCGCCGCCAGGAGGGGCTCGAGCAGCCGGCGCTCCGTCTGTCATTTGACCACTGGGGAGTTTTCCACCCGCCTGAAGTGCCTCCTTACCGTGAGGTCTCAGAGTGCAAGCCCGTCTTTCCCGCCAGCTGGGGTTGGAATGGATGGGGTCCGGGAGGAGGGGAACTGGTGTTAAAACTGCTTTTCCTCGATAAATTAATTATCGGTATATTTGTCATGCATGAATTAGCATAGCTCCGTATTAAGCAAAATAAAAAAGGTCGTAAAGATTTTTTTTTTTTTTTTGCTTTTGTAAATTTGCTGTTCCAGAAATCCAAAGACCAGGATGCACTGTGGACATTCCAGTCTCGTTTTCTCTGTTGCGGGGAAGGGGCGGGCTGGGGGCCGTGAGCAGAGCCCAGACTCGCGCCCAGCAGAGCCCCTGGAAGGAGTGCGTTTCCTCCGCCCCTGCCCTCAGGGCTCCAATCAAGCCTGGTTAAGCTTCTGGGGGCGCTGGCGTGTGCGGATGTGAGGTTTGCGGGAGCTCCAGACCCCACGGAATTAAAACGCAGTTCCCGCTGTACCTGGAACGGGTACTCGCTGCCGATCCACCCTAGCACCGGCAGCTTCGACCTTCCCCTGAGTCCCCGCGGCGGATGGCTGGTCAGCAGCTTCTCATGGGCGCACATTCCACAACCTGTGATCGCTCAGTGCGCTTTAATGCCTGTCATTGTCCTGTTTGAGAATATTTAGTGCTACAGGAGAGAGAGAGAGGGAGAGAGGGAGGGAGGGAGAGAGGGAGGGAGGGAGGGAGGGAGGGAGGGAAGGAAGGAAGGAAGGAAGGAAGGAAGGAAGGAAGGAAGGAAGGAAGGAAGGAAGGAAGGAAGGAAGGAAGGAAGGAAGGAAGGAAGGAAGGAAGGAAAAGAATCCTTATATAACCTTCAGGGTTTTGAAAATATATATCACTTCTCCTTAGTCTTTTAAACTTCAAAAGGAATTTGGAGCTGTATATGAAAATTTAATACGGAAACAAAACTTGCCAGTCTCACATTCTTTCTGGACTTGCAATGAGGCGAATTCCCCTACCTACTTCCCTACCTGTGCAGGATGTGACAGTTAAATTATTATTTCGACACGCCTTATCTCAGGGATTGTGAGACCTAATAAAATGCATGCTATGCATAGTGGAACTTGTCCAAGTTCAGGAAGGTAAGTGGAAATTGGATCTCTAGTTTCTATCAAAACTTCGTGAAGGACTTGGTGGAAGATTCTCAGTAAATAATGTGGCTTTGCAATCTGTGTTTTGAAATCTCTGTGAGAAGAACAAAATCGGAAAGGTGGCAGTCTTCTTGCAGTTAGAAATTAACCTAGAGGTCAGAATGGCTTAGCACTTCCCCCACCACAACCCCTGTAAAGGTTTCATCTGAACAATGTGAGTGTCTGTTCTGGGACGCTCACTGAATATTCTAATTGCAGACGGCAAGGACCTATGAATAACCTGGTTACTACCCACCTAGTGTATGTTGTGTGTGTTTTTGTTGTCATGAAAGTGCTTAACTCCTTTATTGCATTACTTAATTACAGTTCACTTATTTCATCAGCTGCCAAGCCCATTTCCAAATGAGCTAGGTCAGTTTCTGTTTTCCCAGTGCGTTTAGATATTTCTCTGCCACTAGGAGAGTTCCTGTTTGAAGTTTTATGTCATATCTCTACAGTCTATGCAAGTATGCAAGTCCAATAGTTTTATTCTAAAGCACATGGAAAAAAGATGAAGCCATCTGTTATTTCTGAAATTGTCTCTCCCCCCCTCAAATGATTACCTAGATATGCTTTTCCCAAATGACTATTCTCATTTATTTTAGATTTCAGCAAACATGTATTATTGCCTTTTTGTGGAATTTATATGTCTTTATGAGTGTGGAAAAATATAGACATCTTCAGTTCCATACTCTGCCTCCAACACATGTAGATGTAAATTGCTGCATACTCATACAATCATTTGATTATTTTTCAATTTTATTAACTATTTGATATTGATGTTTTTACTATATATATTGGGAAACCATAACCCAAGTTGCCATAGAAAAGCAGGGCGAAACTAGGAAAATTCACACGGGAGTGTGCCAGCATTTTTCAATTTACAGAACATAAGAAAAAGGGTTGAGTTCCCCAAACTAGATAACACATTTTTAAAAAGTCAACAATTTTAGAGGTGAATTATCATTTCTAATCTTGTGTCTGTACCAGAGCAAAGAGGAGACATTTTTATCTGGAGTTCAGCAATTAGTGTTTGGGGGCTCTTGACCTCAAATCAAACATTTTCATTGATACCCAGATGGTCTTGGGAGCATGTTCCTGAGTGATATCTCCAAGACAATTTATCCTTATTTCATTGTACAATGACAGATGATTGAGAAGAATATAAACACTTTTCCTCTAAAATATGAGAAGCACAGATCTCAGTGAGAGATTGACTTTCCTCAGATCTTTTCTGTTTGTCTGAGAGTTTATGAGCTGCCTGAATGTTAGCTCACCTGAGATGACACATCATAGGCAGCAAACGTGATGACAGGCCTCTCCTTTCTGGTTTTGACCTGGGTGTCCTAGCCGCCTTCCGCATCATCTTGCCATATGAACAACTTCGGTAATTGCGGTGCGTGGTTCTGCACTGGGGGCCAAATCCAGGAGCCGGGAAGGGAACTAACAGTTACCAAATGCCTAATGTGAGCCAATCCTGTTGTGTGTTAGGTGCTTCACACATAGCATATCATTTACTTCTTAAAATAGCTGTGTGAGATCAGTGGGATTAGCCCAGTTTGACAAATGGAGGAACTAAGGCTCAGTGAAGAAACTTGGGTAAATGGCAAGAGTAAATGTATTCTGTACATCTTTGCCTAAGAATTTCCTATTTCCTGGTTAATTATCACCCAAAAGATGCAAATACCATGTAAGAAGTCCTGTTCAAAGAGACTATAAATTAAGGTGTGGTTTCCTCATCTGCAAGTCTTTATTCTGAATTAGACGACCTATGCAAATCGTCTCATTAATATGGTTGTAACTTCTGCTGGAAACATTCCTTCAGAAGACAATGGGAAGACTCTCCAAAGCTATAATAGGAGAGATCCCTGGGGAGGAGCACCCTGACAGCCATGGCCTTGGTATGGCAATACTGGAAGCTTTGAGAAAATGAAGTAATATGACAGACTCAGTGTCCTCTGGTGGTGCGTTATGTAAGACTGGGTGTCAAGTTACAGGGCAAATAAAGGTTCAGAGACATTCTAGGTTAAAGTAATGATTTAATTAACTATTTATGATATACAAAATGTTTTTACAGTTGTCCAGAAAAAATGTTAACCCTTAATTTCTTAGGACAAAAATCCTAAATTTTAAATTTGAGACATGAAAGTGAGTTAAATACAAATCCTCTTGAAAATCTTCCATGTAAGGGAAAAAGCCTCACTGTCATATATATGCATATATATGTATATATATTGATATGTATATATATACTCACATATTTATATATGCCAAACTTTATAGTTTTGAATCAAGAGACAGTCGGTGTGTAGAATATAGGTTTCACAACCAAGTTCTTTTATCTGATACTTTCAGAAAGACTTTTTCCTTTGTGAACCTCAGTTTGCTCATCTGTAAAATAGTTCATAATACCTGTGCTATCAGATTATTGTACATGGTTTTAATAAATTGGATGACATTAGAAAATAATAAAATCACTTTTAAAGTTAGAGGTATCATCATCATCATCATCAAGTGCTTTCTTACAGAATACTTCATTTGATCCTTACAATAATTCCCTTTTAACTGGGAAAGGTGTTATTATTCCCATTTTGCAAATGAAAAAACAGACTTAAAAAGAAGTGTCATCCCATGTGAAAGGCTTTATGTTTGAAGGTGCTGACCCTCTGCTGTGGACGCCCCCAACTCACTCTTCACTTCTGGTACAAGTTCTACTCATCCTTTAAGACTGTTCTCTGATAACCGCCTCCACCTTTCTTCTTCCACCACTCAAAAGTCAATGTGCATACTTACCTGGCAGGGGCGATGCCATGATTACGAAAGTTTTCCCGGGGCCAGGCACATCCACTGCACTCTCGATGTGCAGACCCTTGCGATTTCCCCAAACGTGAGCAACTCGACTTCATAGTTTGTGGTAGTGGGGGACTATGTTCTCATTCTCCCCTGGCAAAATATAAAATGAAATGAGTGAATGTGCAGCCTCTCCTCCCCACGGTTCTTGCACCTCTCCTGCTTCTGTGGTTCTGCACTTCCCAGTCACACTGTGTGCATCTAGCCCTGTCTCTTCTTACTGGTGCCGCACTTTTTTGTTTTCATTTACATTATGATAGGCTAATATGAAACACTCAGTAAGTGTTAGTTGGATGAATGATTAGATTGATACTTTTAGAATTCTCACCACTATGATTTGACTCATCCAGCTGTTCTTTGAAAATGTGCTTGAGAAGCTAAATATTTTGAGACTTAAGCAATAGTTTTTGAAAATTCAATTTTGTTGTTTGCTGATAAAACCTAATAATTATTCTTCCCTCTTTTCTCCATTTCTATCTCTTAGTGTGGTCTATAGTCACTAGTGGTCTGCCTTACAAAATTTAAGCATATTTTAAATTACATAAACTGTGGGTGAGAGAGAGAGAGATTGATCAGTGATATGACGGAATGATGGATAATCAGTAAAAAAAAGTATTGTTTTAGAAATGGAAGGAACCTTCGAGTAATCTAATCTAAATTCCATTTTCCTCGCTTATCTACTCCATTCCTAGATTTCTGTTTCCAGAGATAAGAAAACTCAGCTGCAGGAAAATTAAATTAGTATCTGAGCTAGAACTGACTCCTTAGCTCATGAGTGTAATGCAGCCTTGGGTGTATCTGCATTATGAACTGGATAACCCTTTGTTGAGGGCCTTCCTACAGGAATTGCTGGATCTTCAGCAGCAAACCCTGGCTTCTACCCACTAGATGTCAGTATCACCCTGGCCACTCTGGTTGTGACAACAAGAACGTCTCCAGGCATTGCCAAACGTCCCAGGTTGGCAAACTCTGGGTTGAGAGTCCCAAGTCCAATGGGTGTTCCATTGCTGTAACACACTGGCACTCGTAATTCACAGTTTGAATGATCAATGCTTAAATTACCAAGACAATTAATACTGATAGTAAGCTGGATGAAAGTATAAAACCAATTCTAGTGCTAAAAAATCAACTTAGCAATTTTTATGGCTGATTTTAGCACCATTTTCCATGAATAATGATGAAATTTGTTTGTGATGGAGTCACTCAAACTTTCTTCTTTTATCATTGCCTTGCTGACTACCCCATGCCTCCTTTGATCGTTCTAATCTCTTGCCTCCCACAACACTGAACTTCTTCTTCCTCCCAATTTTCTTTCTTTCTTTTTTTTAAAGATTTTATTTGTTTATTTTCAGAGAGGGAAGGGAGGGAGAAAGAGAGAGAGAGAGAGAAACATCAATGTGTGGTTGCTTGGGGTCACGGCCTGCAACCCAGGCATGTACCCTGACTGGGAATTGAACCTGCGACACTTTGGTTCACAGCCTGAGCTCAATCCACTGAGCTACACCAGCCAGGGCTCTTCCCCCCAATTTTCTTGGCCATTGCTCACTCCTTACCGCCTGTTTCCCAGTGTTCTATTATTTTCCCATTCCATCCTATTTCCCTTGAAACATTTGAGTGGCTCCTATATCTTCAAATGTCATATTTTCTTGTATGACTTTCAAATAAACTCCATCAACTCCATTCTTTAATATAATAATATAACCTAATAAATATAATATAAATAGATGCTATATGAACTACAAACTCTAGTTCCTTCACTCATAATGTTTTCCACTCATGTTTACCAGCAGCAAGCACCACCACAAACCTGCTGATCTGCCTGTTTTCTACTCTTTTAGTGCCACCGCCCTCTTTTGTATTTTTACCCTGAATCTCGGCATCATCTATGAATTTTCTCTTTTCCTTTCCACTCCCAGGTGTCCAGTCCCATTAAATCCATTTAGGACAGGAGCTATATCCTTCCTATCAATTTTCCTTTCAGCATCTTGCTCATTTCTTGCACACAGTTAAACCTCAATAGATATTTATTGAGCACATATAATTTGAGGTGCATAGTTATTAAAATAAGTAAAGGCTAAGCTGCTCTCTTCTTTTTATTTATTGGGTGGAACTCAGTCCTTCCCACGTGAGCATCACACTACAGATGCATGTGTACTTCTTACTGAAGTTGAGGTCGCCAGTTCAACCAAAAATATATTTCATGAAATAAATTTTTAGCAGCTTCAAATGTGCTAGGGGCATTATGCGGATTTGCTGAATGAAGAGTAATTAGCTTTTGGACTTTTAAAATTACCTTTGTGTACTCATTTCCCCCCTCTTTTTGTTGCTCACTGATTAAAACTTTGTTCTTTTGCAAATTCATTTTTAGCAATAGGACTTTATAAACAATGTATAGGATGATAGCCAATATGTTTCTTAAAATGTCATTACACATTCAAAGCTTCAGGCCATAATATGACCATAATGAGAAGAAGGCAAACAGTCATAATCCAAACTATTGCTCCTTTAGGGGATGTTTCTTTTGAAACAGGAACGTGATAGTGACTGAAAGTTCTGGATTGGTCTACAGGGATGGGTATGAGAAGGAAGATGGGAGAGAGTGAAGGTAAAAAGGGTTATAAAAAGCCCCTCCCATATAACACTATGTTGAAGAAAAAAATATTTTCCCAAAAAGACATTTGAAATAATACTCTAGAAATGAATCTTTGGCTTTTAGGAGCTGCAAGTCCCATATTAGGAGCTCTTTAGTTCCCAAATTCTAAATACTCAGATTAATAAAAATATAACATTTACACAACAGTTGATATGCATTCTCTCACATTATGAAAATATTTCCATTATGAACAAGATACATCTTTAAGTCTATTTTAGGATAAAATAAGTTATACCCTTATATTGCAAAGTATTGACTCTTGATTTGAATAGTTTTAAGAATAGTCTTGTATGATTACTAAAATATGAGCACTTTGAAGTATGATTTAGAAATTACTAGCAAAATTGAAGAGTATAATGTTCATGAATTGAAAAACATGGCCTATTAAATCTTTGTTTGCCCCTTGGTAATGAGGATCCTACGGCTGTCTTTTAATGTCAAAATTAAAAGACACACTTATTTGTAACCATTATGACATCAGCCTCTGGTTGCATCCTGTTTCAAACAGTTATAATTGGCTTTTACATTTCATTTTTTAATGAAGCTTAGTTAAAAGGTTAACATGGAAAAACTGTAAGAGGAGAAAGATTGCTAGTAACAATGATGAGGTTATTTACAAATATATGAAATGTAGGATGTTACCAGAAAGTACCGAGAGTAGTTTTTTACATTATGTAATGTAATACAGATTTTAGTTGTTTTAACTAAGATGCAGTGAGACCATGTCTAATAGTGGAATGTAATTTAAACGAGAGGCATCTGGAAATGCTGAAAGCGTGTTCACTCTTCAAAGCATACAAGATCTAACCTGTCTACTATGTTACAGACAAATGCCAAAATTACAGACTGCTGTGAAAGAGGCAGGAAAACTAACAGTCCATGAGTAGACTTGTATGAGACTGCAGCAAAAGTGTGAACAAAGTGATTTTGATGCCTAGTTGGGCTGGGCAAATACTATGATTTATTATGAGTTTGCTGTTCTGTTCTACACATTATACAAAGTAAAATTAGGAAAATCATTTCCATTCTCATTCTGTAACCTATTTCGTTTTACTTTGGGTCACTTTTATGTGCTCGATTGTTTTTCAGGAGAACCATTTTTATCCCTGAAAATTGCCATTGATTTTGCTGACTTGACTTGGTAGGCCAGGGAGCAAGTCCCTGCCTCCTTTTAGATGAACCCCTCCCCGTGGTCAAAAAAAGCAAGGTCAAAAGAAACCAGGTGCAATAGAAGGACATCTCTGGTGTGAGGCATTCCTCTTGCTGTTGCATAAACCGTCTTGGTGCCCCGGGGCCCACAGTGTTGAGTGCACCCCCCATTCAGGTGATAGCACTCAACCTGCCCCGTGTGTATGGTCCCCAATATTGTGTAAGGGTGTAGGCCTGGCCGTGACTCACAGGTTAGAAGTAGTTTGTATCCTGTGAGTCACTGACACCACTTCCTGCTGGCACCTTGGAGATTTCACTGCAGCACAATCTCTGAAAGATGACAGTAGAGAGAAGAATAGGTGAGCTTCAGAATCCTAAAACCCACTTGGAAATTGGACAGGAAAAAAAAATGACTTTAAGGGGATTTTGATTTTCATAGAAGCATTGAAGTAAAAGTTTTAACTGACAATTTTGAGTTTATAAATTATTTATCCCATATTACCTTGTGCAGAATTCCTCATGTATTATTTACCAATATAAACTTGCCACTAGATCTGTTTTCTGAAACACCAGTGCTACCCAAAATTTTCAGTACCATAGCCAATTTTTTCTTAGCAGTACCCATGGTCAAGGACCAAAACTCAAGTGTAATATTTATAGTTGACTCTTAGAGAGATCATTAATGTCACGGAAAGCCAAAAGATTAAAAAATATGTATATGAATATGACTTTAACATCTGTTCCTTCCCTATGTTACTTTAAAATAACAAGTAGTGAGTGATTCTTAAAAGCAACAGGGTAGTAGATATAAGAATCTCCTACAGTGCAGTTTTTCGATCTTTTGATCACTCCCACTTACTCCTCTACCCCAGTTTGCAAGGGCCTGGGGCAGAGGGGAGGTGGAGGGACACTTGAGAATCACTGTTTTAAAGCAGTAGAGCTATGTAGATGAACCCATGATTTAGAAGCAATGTTGGTATCTTATTGGCTATATACATCCATGATGGAACTGAAGTCTAAACACTTTCTGTTGAGGGTAACATTTAAAATTATTTACAATTTCATCTGTAGAATACCCAGATGTTGGATTAATGCAGCAAGTCTCACAGAAACCATCCTGAGAGATGGACTGTGTCCAAGGGAGTGTCACGGGTTAGGAGAGCCCAGTTTTTGTGGAGGCACACCCTGCACTGAACATTCTTTAATTCACAAAGACAAATATTTCACCTGTGGCCTGACCAACTGGAACAAAGTTTCCAACAATGGAAAAACTAACAAACTACTAGAATCCTTAAAGCAAAACAAAACAAAACAAAACAAAACAAAACAAAACAAAACACTGAGAAGCAACACCCCCAAACAATTAGCTGGATTCTAAAATAGTCCCAGATTGCAGTTGGGAGCAATTCCAAACAGGAGAGGCTAGTTTCTGATTTCTGCAAAGGATAAAGAAATGTGCTTCAAATGTACATTTGCACAATGGATGGGGCTGCCTCCAAAGAAGTCCTCAGCTGCAGAAGCATGGGGGAATAAGGGGGTCAAGGATGTAAAAACATAAATCTAGAACTCCAGTTTGTATAAGTTAAAAGGTTTAATTTTTTAGTCATTAAAGCACAGAGCAAAATTATATTGAGAAGTAGAACAAAATTGACTTGGATGAGATTACAGCTCATTCTCCATGAAAAACTATGTGGACAAAGTCATCTTTTTTCATCACTGTTCAGCTGACAATGAAATCCAAATTTTAGTCATTTTTCTTATTTAACAAAGATGATATTTTTTCCTATAAGAGTAATCGAAACAGCATTTATATTGTTGTAGAAATATGGAAGGGGGAGGAGATAGTTTTAAACTTTTCAAAAAGTATTTTCAAATAATCCAAAAATTATGAAACAATGTCAAAAAATACATTTCTAACTCCTATCTTCAATGGTCACTGGATAATTGGTCTTAGACAAGACGTTTAATTTAACTGCACAGAGGTTGTTTGAGGCTAGTAACTACTTCACAGGATTGCTACAAGTATCAAGTTTGAAACAAAATTATGAACTATGATGCTAATAAAAAGAATGCAATTTGCTTAACAGATACATGCCTTCTCTGAGAAAAAAATAAAGTCCTGTATTACATGGGTTAAATCATTGTTTAAAACACCCAATTGCAGATGTTATGACTTTGTCACAGGCCAGTAGGGGGCACTACCCACCCTTACTGCTGACACTGGAGGCCAGGTGAGGAGTGACAGGGAACACTGATGGGAATCTGGTGTGCTAGGCATTTCAAAAAAACATCTTTATTCAATTCTCCCAAAAACTCTAAGAGAGGGAAATAAATCACATAGCTTTCTCCCAGGATTGCCTTTTCATCATACTTTGTTGCCTCCCTTTGAGGTTAAATAATCACTTCAATTACATTTATACTTGTTCCTTCCATGTGTTGTCTATTGTACTCTAGTATTGTTGTCTGTTTCCAAATTCTGTAACATGGTCCATGAAGAACAATACTGTGTACCTTTAGGAAAGTTACTTAAACTCTTTATGTTTCAGTTTTCTCGTGTGTCTAATAGCAGCATGGGTACCTTCATCAGAGAGTCAATAAAATGTTTAAATGAGAAAATATAAATAAGGAGGATAGAAAGATGTTTGCATGTAGTACATTTTCAAGAAATGTTAACTACTGCCAATGTTACTACCATTTATATTTATGTAACAATTACTCATACAGACCAGAAAGAGTGGTTGAAGTACAAATAACTAATTCTTAAACAGCTGAGACTAAACTCTCTCTAATAAGTATCTGTGCAATTAAAATCCTTCTAACGCTTTCTATGGAATTCAGAAACTACTTGAGTCATTCTGGTGCTTATTTTCCAATATTTATCTTTTCATGGGAGACTTGTGGTGTTCAAATGCTTCCCAGGCTGATAGGAATTGCATTCTAGGGCTCGGTGTGGTTCATCGAGCATGTGTGCTCACCCCCACATTAGATATGTTCTGACTTTGTTTAGGTTACCTTTTACAATGCAAAGAGTAATTTAGACACTTAAATCAACAGCAAATATATCTTAGGCAGAGAGCCTATATAGTTGGTACCATAAGTAGAACCTAATTCTTATTTGAAGCTTTTTTGTGTGATAGGTTCTATCTTGGAGCATTGCTTTGAGCTTAACATGGAGTAAAACATTGGAGAGGCTACAATGTTCCAACTTCTAAGCTTCTTAGGATATCAAACTTCAAAATCAGGTCTTTGAAATGTTCCTGTGAGACACTAAAGCAGGTTAAATCTCTAACTGTGAATATAGTTCCAAAGCTTTTGCTCTTGAATATGAGCTGGGGTTCATTTTCAATTATATGCCTGTTTCCATGAATCATTTTCTTCAATGGTTTTGATGGATCAATTCTCGAATTAATTTAAACAACTCTATCAATACTGCAGTTTTGTGGAAATCTGACCAAGCTTTCTCTCCTTGAAGCATTAATTACATATTCAATTCTTTCATCAACAGGTTTTCACCTTCTACAAGCGGTGCTCAGTACAACTGTGGTTCCTTCATGTGCCCCTGGAGAACCTGGGGATGACTGCGCAGCCTCAGGTAAGCCCAGCTTTGTCAACAGTGCTTGAAAAGGTTACACATTTTGAACAAAAATGTAAAAACTCAAAGATTGTACATATATGACAGCTACTGTATTAACGAAAGAATTTTTAACCCCCTTATGAACTAACAATCTGGAAAACTTATGTAAAGAACTAATTGGGGGTAGTTCCTCTAGCTATATGGAGAAATTTGATCTTAAAGAGATAGGGAACAAGAAAATCAGATTCCCTATGGCCATTCTCCAGAGCTTTGCTGTGAAACATTGTTAGAGGCTGGATCCCAGGCAAAATAGGGAAGTTTAAACTTTGTACACAGTACATAATCAGTGTATTTTTGTTGTTTTTTGTAACAGGAACAAGTGATATCCTGTCTTTTTAGTCGCAGCACTTATTCAGAAACATTTATGGAGCATGTGCTATGTGCCAAACATGGTGGTTAGGCATAGAGGTGCAGAGTGAATGATGCTCCGTCTTTTTCCCTCGAGGACCCTAGAGCACTCTGAACGTGGCCCTGCTTTATATTTAGGCAAGGGTGCTCATGTAATGGAGTCAAGGGTTACCCTGAGCTGCCGAGACAAGGATTATTTACGCTGAGGAACGAAGATGTTTTTTGCACAACTTCAGCTCCTCTCTTGTCTGCCTTCATCATTGGGCTTTCTGGAGGTTTAGTCTGCTGCCCTCTTCTCCTCCTCTCCTTTTTCTTTTTTTTTTTTGCTTTTTGAACAAAAGTGTTGCAATTAAGATACAATTTTAAAAAATATTTTATAAACGTTCTTCACATTTTAGTAACTAAAATAATCCCAAAGTGAATTTTACATGTAAGTTGCAACACTATTTCTAACAGTGCTCCTATTTTCTCAGTTGTAGTGGCCTAACCAAGGCGTCTGTAATTCAGGGTTCATCTACTTCCGGTTCAGGTCTCATTGATAGAGAAGTTGGGAGGCTTTGATTGATTTCTTCTATGGTAAGCTCAAAAATTCTAGAAAGTACACAGAAACCAGCCTTACTAGCTTCAAAGCCAATAGAGAATTGAGCTCTTTTTAATTAATTAATGCATTCAGCTTACAGGTACTTTTAGAATAATGAATTTCAGAATTATTTTGAGATTAAAAAATTTAGACACACTTTGGCTAAGTGAATAACTGTGGAGGGTAGCAGTGTGTGTGTGTGTGTGTGTGTGTGTGTGTGTGTGTGTGTGTGTGTCCTAGACTTACTTTCTCTATCTTTAAATGTTGTTCTTTGATAATTAAATCCCCACATTTCTCTGGTTTAGTCTGTTGGATACTTTCCTTTGGGCTCTGGTGTTTGTTTCTTGTTTAGGGAATGTGATAACTAGAGTAACTTTCTACTCCTGAAAATTTTCCTCTCCTTTGGTGACCTGATCTGCTTCGTTACAGTAGATTAGTGATTACTATTATAAGAGGGTGTTTTGTGCTTCAGAGAAGTCAACAGAATGCATTAAACTTTCCATTTTCTTCACAGCTCAGACGAGAAATGTTCCACGTGTGGCTCAGGTGTCGAAAATGAAGTGCAGCCCTGACGCGAATGGCTACTGTTTGCATGGAGAGTGCGTCTACCTGGTGGACATGAGAGAAATTCACTGCAGGTAACGTCCCCCCACAAACAACACACAAAAAAGGTTTTTGAAATGTATATTTCTTTATTTTTTAATTTTCAAAGTTACTCTATATTTACATGGGGAGCAGAATATATGTACTTTGAGTATGCAGTTTATATCTACTATTAAAAACTTGATTGAGTTTTTTTAATTACGGGGCAAATAGTAGTTATCAAATTGCACAGATACTTCTGTGCAATCAATTCTATCAGCTTTGGGGAGGGCTTCAGATGCCTTCCTCTCACGAATGCCACAAGAGCAGCTCAACTTTTAATCTTTTCACTGGACTTACCAGCTACTGTTTTACGACTTGATTCCACTGATACAGACAAAAAGCACTTCAAGCCTAAAAAAGTCATGAAACACTATTCTAGACTAGCAGCTGTCCCAGACCACCATTTCCACACCCCAGTTCAGCTTGAGAGCTGTGTGCAGCTCCTTTGATTCATGCTGGCCTAGTGCTAGGTCAGTCTTTGAGTTCATTTTTTAACTTCCGGCAAACCTCGCTGATTTCTTGCATTACAGCATGGGATCAGTTCGTACAAAAGTCATAACCATGTTTTTTAAAAAGTAATGGACCGCCCTGGCTGATGTAGCTCAGTGGATTGAGCGCGGGCTGCGAACCAAAGTGTCGCAGGTTCGATTCCCAGTCAGGGTACATGCCTGGATTGTAGGCCACAGCCCCCAGCAACCGTGCATTGATGTTTCTCTCTCTCTCTCTCTCTCTCTCTCTCTCTCTCTCTCTCTCTCTCTCTCTCCCTCGCTTCCCTCTCTAAAAATAAATAAATAAAATCTTTAAAAAAAGTAATGGACCATTCTCTGGCATTTTCCTCTAGGTGTGACTTGGGTTATGCTGGCACCCGATGTGAGCACTTCTTTTTAACCGTCCAACAGCCTTTGAGCAAAGAATATGTGGCTCTGACTGTGATTCTTACCATCATCTTTCTTCTCTTAGTCGCTGGCTCCATATACTACATCTGGAGGTGGTAAGTCAGTGTTGTTTTTATACTCTGTTTTTATAAATTCTTTTATACAGTGTAGACTCTCAAACTAGTTAAAAATGTGGACAGAGTATCTTTTTAGAGGGATAAGGTAGACTCTGCACCAATGATGTTTATACCAAAGTTTTAGTGGCAGAACATTGGGCTAATAGTAGAACATTCTACTATTAGCTCTGCTACTTACTACCTATGTGACCTTATGCAAGTCAAACTTCAGAGTATCAATCCTTTATAAAATGCAGGTACAAATCCTTATCCTGCATTAATCACAGAACCTCCCTCAATGTTAACGATGATAGAGCATGAGAAAGTAAGCCATAAGCCATGATGCCAGTGTTATGCTTTGTCATTTATCTCTAATTTATTGGGTCAAATTTTTGTATTTTATAAAACACAGCCTTGTAAATTAAATAACCCCAGATACTTAGTATCTTAAACTTTAAGGCAGACTAATAGAAACAAGTTTCCATACAATTATAGAAGCTTACATTTGAAAAATGGTTCGTGTCAGTCTTCTGAAACAATCACACTCCATCCTTAGGTGCATGCTGGTCATCCTCAAGGATGGTCATGTGTAATGCCACGGTGTCCCGGTCAGGACCAGGGTGTGGGGATGGTGTGCATTAGTTAGTAACAGCTTCTCTTAAAATGTCTCCAGGAAATCCTTCTTATTTCGGAACTGTTACAAAGTGTTCAGTGTACGTTTGAATGATTTTTTTTCCCTGAAAGCAGTGCACTTCTTTTGAAGGCCTGAAAGTGCACTACTTTTACAAGAGTAGGTTTATTTTTGCCCATGTTTGATTTTAAGTATCCATCGCATAATAATGCCTTCCTCGTTAGTTATGATCACAGAACTGAATGAGATTAAATCTGAAACACACCTAAAAGTTGTCTGACTATGGTTCTTTCCTTCATGAGGATGGGGAAATGACATCTAGAGTGGTGAACTGTCACGCCCCAGCTCATGGACTTGACCAGTGGCAGAACTAAGTCCAAACAAAGACTTTTTAACTATATTATTTATTCTACAAAACATAACCATGTACCTCATTCCAAAATGGGTAGAAAATTAACTCAAAATATTAGGAAGATAGCTTGAATAAATGAATGAATGATTCTGAATCATGAATCCTGGTTGGGAGATCTTGGCCAGGTTATATAACGTATTTGAATGTCACTTTCTTCATCTGTAAAATGAAGATGGTAACGGTAAATGTGAGGATAAAATAAATACTGAATGTACAGTACTTAGCCATTATCAGTCACCTAACTAGTGGCTAATAAATACTGGTTATTTTATTTTTTATTGGTGACAGCATTATGTCAATGTAATGGATGGAATGTAATAATATAGTGCAATATTCAAAGTACTGGTTCCTTAGTAGGTAGGTAGGAAAGAAGCAAACAAAGAAGGAGGGGAGAGGGGGGGAGAGAGGGGGGGAGAAAGAGAAAGAGAAGGAAAGAAAGAGAAAGAAAAAGAACCAAAGTAGCTTAAATGTGGTCACATACTCCTGGAATTTTACAATTTTCATAATAAGGTTCAAGCCTCTGAGGACTCCTTTAATTGTTTCACCATTTCCTTCTGAAATTCTTTGACCACACACTGCTACTCCTTCTTCCCTCCTTATTTCTCCTTATCCAACCTAAAGCTCCTTTGCCATTCTGGAAACACTATGCAGGTACACCTTTTGAATCCATGTACTTGTTCCTTTTGTTAACATACTCTGTTGTTATTACTGTTAAATACAGTGCTAACACTTTATTTCTGAATATTTATTTCTAGGTGCAGAAATCGAAAAAGTGAAAAATCAAGGAAGGAATATGAAAGGGTGACCTCAGGGGACCTGGCGCTGCCACAAGTCTGAATGCTGACATCACGCTCGTGGGCCAGGCTGTGCAGCACGCCTGTTGGTGTTAATATTCCTATTTTATTAATAATATTTATGTTTGGACATGTGCTGTTGACAATGGCATATTTTTAGTATACTTAGAAACATTTTTACTTTTGTTTTATTTTTGACATACTACTTGTATACTGTGCACAAACAAATATAGAAAGAAAATCGATATATATTTTTTCCTGGGCTAAATGCTTCATTGAAAGCTCCAAAGCTTCTTTGCCTGCTGCACATAACTTGCTCAGGAAGTATTGGCAAGTGGCAGATTTCTGTAAGCCTAAATGCATGGTCAAATCAATTTAATAAATATATTTTTCTACTCCTCAAAGCAATGATCATTGGTCTGATGATGCCATCATCTGATGTATAGGTTGGCACCACTGTTCATGTGTTGAAACATCTGATACAATGGGAATTGGGGGGAAGCAAATGTGAGTCATGTGCTATACGTTACCCATTTGAAACAAACTAAACTGGGAGAGCTCCACTCCCTCCTGGCCCTTCCTCAGCTATAACTCTGTTTACCTGCCTAGAGGGGAAGTGGACAATTCTCTATTGCAACCCACAGTTCCTGTGAGTCCTAGTCACCCATCTAACAGATTCTCCTTAAGTGAAATGAACTGAGAGCTTAATTTTATATTATCTTTTAAAATAGTAGTTATAATAGTAGTTATTTTATAGCTTCACAATACTCCTTTTTGTACAGCATTTATGTGAGGTAACTGTTGCCTATGAGATAATTATAAAGAAGTCCATACTAAAAGCCAAAATTTGTGCTTCTTTTTAATTTATTTTCATTGGAACTTTGCTGAAGAATTCTAAGATTAACTCACAGTCCAAAGTTTGATGGACTAATCATTATTTTAAGGCATAAGACAATAGTCGTATATATATTGTCCAAAGACATAAATGCAGTTATTTTCTACATAATATATTTTAAATTTGAAAAATACAGTAAGTTGCTCTTTGTAGAATTTAAAATTGCACATTTAAGATTATATCTTGATGCTGTGGGAAAAATAAGAAAAAGTAAGTCACAATATATTTTATAAAATGAACAAACTTATTTGAAAGCTTTTCCAATTTAGACTTAATCATTCATCCTTATTGTGGAGACTGAGATGAAACCAGGCCCTATTTTTTTGTCCTTTGTTTATTTTTTGTTAGAGACTGAAGTTTCTCCTGTGCTCTGGGCCTATGGTCTTAGTGAGTTAATAAGGGTACGTGGGCAACTGCATAAGGAGCCACAGCTGCCACCAGCATTGGATCTCACGGGAGACTGTCTCACTGACGCTAGACCTTTGGGTAGAGTCTCTCAGGATTGCATAGGACTATACCCTGGCCAGGGACGGTCTGTCCTTTCTCTACTCTTTATCCTGACATATGCAAGGGCAACCAAGAGAAAATGAAGTGCTTGGTGCTAGGACTTGCTCCCTCCTGAACCCTTCCCTCTGTTATATTGGCTGGTGCATTCACATGACTCTAATCCAAAGTCCTGGATCTGGTTTCTACTATTAAGGGAATATAGATGTTCACATGTAAACCCCCATGAGCTCAATCAATCAGAATTAGTCATTTGTTGCCTTATCAAAAATACATAAAACTTAATAACAAGATAAAGAGAAATAAAATAAAATTTAGTGAGATCAAAAAGAGTATTTCTGTTCCCCATTTAATATAGCTGAAGTCAAATGTACTGTGTAAGAACTCATTTTAAATCCTGTGCATACTTATTGACCCTGTAAACAAAGACCTTGTAAACAAAATGTAAAAACCCATTTTAAGTGATCTTGATTGCTCAAAGAGTATGTGTTAACTAACCAAGAAATCAGTTTTAATTTATTTATTTTACTGACAAAGAGGGAGCTATATTGGCTTATCTTAAGCATCTTAACTCATGTCATATATCTAATTGTAAGTAGTTTGAGGTGTTTCTAATCTGTGTTTAAGAATGCTTATAAATCCTGACTGGCGCAGCTCAGTGGGGTGTCATCATGCAAAGCAAAAAGTTGCCATTTTGATTCCTGCTCAGGGCACATGCCCAGGTTGTAGGTTTGGTCCCTAGTTGGGGCATGTATAAGAAGCAACAAGTTGATGTTTCTCTCTCCCATCGATGACTTTGTCCCTCCCTTTTCCCTGCCTTCCCCTCTCTCTAAATATAAGATCTTTAAAGAAATTTTTCAAAAAGAAGTCTTAAAAAAACCAGCCTCTAAAAGTTAAGTGTTTATTTAGAAATGCTCATTGAATAACAAAGTATGAGTCAGATCACTGTTTCTGCATGAAAAATAAGTAAAATCTAATAGCCTTAATGAGGATAGTACTAAACAAAAATAAAAAATATGATTGCTATCATCTCTTGTTTCCTATAGGCAATGGGCAGATTTTGATCACAGTTAGTCTATCTTTTTCATTTTACAGATTTCTCACCATATGTCTAGAAGAGACTATTTATAAACAACATACTGAGAACAAATGTAAATCCAATGCATAAATGCATAACTTACGGCTTCCCACAAAGGCCACACAATAACTTACCTGACACATACTCTGTAACCAAAGACATTAAGTTCTATCAATTGGTACAAAAGGCTTAACCTCAAAATTGATATTTATGCAATATATTGAACACTTATAATACAATAGAACATTACTGTTCTAGATGCTTTGTTTGCTCTCATCTTTCTGCCAACTGTCAATGTCAAAGCAATAGGAGAAATGGCACGCTGGTGTGACTGTGTCTAACTCAGACTTTTGCATCCTCAGGAAGACAGCTAAACTCATTTGTCTTCAGATAACATATTTTCATGCAACAAATGCATAGTAGTTTCTAATTTCTATTGATATCAATAATGCAGTTTGTAAAAGCTTATGTCTGATCCACTTGGTCACTTGCTGTAATATCTATTTTGTAGACTTGGAAAAAAGGCATTTAATTTGCTGCCCAATATTTTCAGGTTTTTTTCCCACTCTTATTCATATGGGAGAAGGAGGAGCAACAACACGTATAAACAGTGTTCTGGGATACCTTTTTTCTCCTTTTTTTAAATTGTATTTTTTCTATTATCATTTATCCCCCTCACACCCTCTTCCCCCTCCTCGTACCCCCTCCCAGTTCACACAGTCACCATGCTGTTGTCCACGTCCATGAGTCCTTTTTTATTTTTTGCTTGACCCCTCCACCCTCCAATCCCCTACCAAATAGCTGGAGTACTTTTTAATATTTTAACTAAACAGTAATTTTATCTAAAACATATATGTTATTCAAATTGGAATGATGTTAAATATATTGTTCTCTTAGTTTTTTTGTACTCTGTAATTGCACTTTTAGAGTTTGAAGAGCCATTTGGGTATACAGTTTATATTGAAGAGGCGATGGGACATAAAGTTGTATTGCCTGCAGATTAAAGTAATTTATGTGATAATGAATTTTATCAGAGTACTGAATTGTATCAATTTGTTTGTGCTCAATATCAGCTTTGATAATTGTGTACCTTAAGATATTGAAGGAGAATATACTTTACAAGATATTGTTGATGTTTATTTATTTTTATTGAGAACTGGAATAAATTAAAAAATAAAAATGCATTCAGTCATGCATTAAAAACTTCACTGGTAATCTCTTTTTCTTTTTTCCATAATTCACTAAAAGACTTAAAAGCAGTAACAAGACCACAGTGTATTTAGATATAAAGATGATACGGTCTTAGTTTGCAAAAGCATTATATAACTTTATCACATTTTATTGCCTACCATAGTCAAGAATTTCTTTGAAATATAAAAAGCCACATTATTTATGAAATTCTGGGTGTTAATGTTTTTAAATATATTTTAAAGACTATATTAAAAGAGTATTTATAAAAAGAATAGATACCCTATTCTTAAGGTAAAATATTCTAAGAATATTTTAATCAAATTAAATTGGAATTATTTTGAAGAATTTGTTTTTACATTCAATATTATTTTGTATTAGTTTCAGGTGTATAGCATAGTGATTAAACAATCATATGTTTTACAAAGTGTTTCTCTGATATTTTCATTACCCACCTGGCCCCATACATAGTTATTACAATGTTATTACGTAGTTATTACTATATTCTCTATGTTGTGTTTTATATCCCCATGACTATTCTGTAACTACCAATTTGTACTTCTCAATTTCTTCACCTTTTTTACCCATCCCCCCAACCCTTTTTCCCTCTGGCAACCATCAGCCTTTGCTCTATACCTATGAGTCTGTTTCTGTTTTGTCTGTTAGTTTGTATTGTTCTTTAGATTCCCCATGTAAGTGAAGTCACATGATATTTGTCTTTCTCTGACTGACATTTCTCAGAGCACAGTAGTGGCAACTACTAAAGTAGTTGCAACTACTAAATGCTAAAGTCTAACATAAATCCTCTGTAATCAAAAAAACCTATCTTTAAAGAAAATTTTTGTCTCCATAAATGATTTAAGTGAAAACTTATTTTTTCTTTAAATAAAAAATCTGTATGTGAATAACTATGTACTGTGTCAGATGGGTACCAGACTTACTGGGGCAATCACTTTGCATGTTATACATAATAAGAGTCTGATCATTATGTTGTACACTAGAAACTAACATAATATTGTCTGCCAAGTGTAATTGAAATTTTTTTTAATAATCGATTTTTTAAAAAGTGAGTAAGAAATAAAAAGCCTAGATACCCTACTGAGAAATAACTTTTGAAAGGACACATCAGCCAGAACATATCTCAGAATTCCTTCACCTTCTTGCAAGTAACGGGCTCATCTTCCCAGCCCTTGAGAGCAGGGACGTTGGTCTCTTGAACCTCCGTCACAGTAATGGCTTCCTTGGTTCATGCTTCAACAACCTACAGAGTGCCTTATGCATTTATCAGCTCCTTGGTGCATAGTTGGGAGATAGGACAGGGAGGCATAGCTATGACCACTTTACAGGGAGGTAAAGTAATTTGTCCATGGTCACAGTGATAGTGAAAGGAGAAGATGGCATGAGAAACAAAGTCTTCTGATCCCCAATTCTACTGTCATTCTGGCCCTGTCAGAGGCAGCAAAGCCATCATGTGCAGTTAATCTGAATCTGGTTTAGAATTTTCTTGGCAGAAACAGAAACTTTTATAAAATAAAATTTTTAGGATCTCACACAACCACCAGACTGATTCTGTTCAAAGTCTGAGAACCCACAGGGCAAGAAAAAGAACTCTTTGAAACACTTACCACTTGGTTTCCAAGATACCTCATGCACCTGGGTTTCCCCCTGCTTCTCAATCTCATGCTAGATCTTTCTTAACATCTCCCACCCCCACCATTTATCTGTACATGTTGGAGTTTCCCCAGATCTCGATCTTGAAATTTTTCCCCTATATAGCTACTCTTTACTGTATTTTGTACACACTTATACCTTCAGTTGCCATGCATGTACTGGTCACTCCCAGCCTAGATATTTCTGCTGAGTACTAGACTTCATTATCCAACTAGTTATCCCACATCTCGTGGATACCCACTAGACATTCAAAGGTAACATGTTCAACAACTGACAACCCTGAAAAGTTGTTCCTTCTACAATGTTTCCATCTCAATTAAATTTGACCTCATCCTTCTTATAACTCAGACCAAAACCCTGGTATCTTCTTCTGGGATATGCTGGATGACTAACTTTCAAGTAATTTCAAAAACGATGGCACAGCAATGGCAGAATTGGTCATTTTGAAGAGATTATGCAGAAGAAAAAGAATTCCAGGAAATCAGAGTTAGATAGAATATCACAATTTTCAAAAGGAAAATAATACATGCACTGATTTTGACTTTGATCAATTCTAGAACACATTTTACCCCAAGTGGTCACAAACATTATAAAACATAAGCAATGTTCATTGGGCTCCAACATAGATTCATTAAGAAAGATATATAATATGGATCTTTTTTGAAATATCCAGTTTGTTCACCAGCTAGTGGTAACTACCCATCATATGAAAACAAACACAAGTACTTCATTCAGCTCATCTAAATATTTGAAAAATGAGAAAAGCCTCCCAAAAATTTCATATGAATCTGGAGTGCAAAGAACTTATTTAAAAAATAAGCACAGGCTAGGTTCATTTAATGCAGGCATTTCAAGTGGATCCATCACAAGCTAAATAAGTGAATGCCATGTGATGGGATGTAGAAAACTTGAGGTAAGGGCTCCAATTATAGTCATGGGAGATATAGGAAACCCACATAAAAAACCCAGCCAGTGGAGTGGTGACTTTTCCAATCAATCTAGCAGAAAGGGGCAATGGTTTCCCATTCTCTGAGGGTGGCATGATTCACTCCAAAAAACTATGTGCCAGGTTTCTGGCCATCAACTTGCAATAAGAGCAATTCATATTCTTTTTTTTAAGATTTTATTTATTTATGTTTGGAGAGGGAAGGGAGGGAGATAGAGAGAGAGAGAGAGAAACATCAATGTGCACTTGCTGGGGGTTATGGCCTGCAACCCAGGAATGTACCCTGGGTGGGAATCGAACCTGTGACACTTTGGTTTGCAAGCCTGTGCTCAATCCACTGAGCTATGCCAGCCAGGGCTGCAATTCACATTCTTAAAAAAAAAGATAAAAGTCAACACTTTATGAATTAGTCAACCAAAATTTATTAAAAATGTTTTTTGTATCTAGTATTAGTATATTTTATACTTCTCAAATATAAAAGAAGTATACTTTTGAATATAAAAGAGGTATAAAATATGCTGCTGTTTTTAAGAAAAGCAGAAGAGAAATTTGAAGTTAGGGAAGTGGTTAAAGAAAATTCCAAGGCTTTAGTAGTTGGGCTTCTTTGATTTTTATGCAACAGAAAACAATTCTGGCTGAAGAAGAAATTAGCAGCAAGTATATGGAGGGTTAGAGAGAATTAAAGAAAGAGCTGAAGAACCAGGGCAGGTCTAGTGATTTAGTTAGCCATGTGCTGCTTTTAGAAGGTTAACTTTTAAAAATCACAGTATACTCAGTTCTTGGGTGCCCGTAGTCTAAGGAGATAGC